CTACTATATATATATATATATTATATATATATATATATATATATATATATATATATATATATATGCATATCTCTTAATCGTGTTTACATTTATCGTATGCCAGCTAGTAACGTACTCTGGACAATTGTTTATACAAGTCGATGATCTGCAACTTCTCGTCCTTGTGCATACGTCGCACGTGGACGTACATGTTCGAGGAGAATTTCGCCTTCTTGGTGCAATACGGGCACTGGTAACGGGGCTCTTTACCGCACTGGAAATGGCAATGGGTTTTCATGTCGGACAGCCGGGTGTAACCACTGTTACACCGTGGACAATAAAACTTTTTCCTCGGCACGGAATTTTGAACGGAGACACTGTCGGGCCAGTGGGCCCTCGAAGAAACGGAGGTTGGCAACGGGGGGGGAGGAGGCTCTTGACGACAACCGCCTGCCTCCACGTAGAGGAACGACTCGTCCTTCGGCTGCGACTTGGAGAAATCTCTTCCCGGTTGCTGATAACCCGCATCGCCACCCAACGATCTCCCTCCTCCTATCATTTCAGGGCGGATGTACGACGAGTGTAACTGGCCGTACATCGGATCTAGAAAAAAGAATCGAATTTTTGTTGCAACTTATTAGAAAGAACAAACGATTGGGAATGGAAACCAACGAGTTGACGACATTGCAGAGAAATACAATTTTTTGTTCTTTGCTTTTTTGTTTTTTTTCCATCCATGCTCCTTCGAAAGCTACTTTCGCTTTTTTTTTTTTCTAACAGATCGACGACGAGTTCTCTTTCCTTCTTTGCTCGATATTTTTTTTTTTTTTTACTCTATCTTGCATTTTTTTCTCGATTCGTGTATTGTCTCGTAGTAATGGTAATTTGCAGAAAGAGAGATCCAGAGAGAGAGAGAGAGAGAGAGGAGAAGGAAGGGAAAGGGAGATAAAATTAATACACAGGGAAAGAAGAAACCAGAGAATATGTATGGTTTATATTAGGAATATCTACTCGAGATGGTGGAGAGATCCTTTGGAGGATCGATTTTCTCGTGAAGAAAGATAAGAATTGGCGAGCATCTTAGAAACGCCTGTGTAATAGCAATCGATCCTCCTAAGGATTCTCGTACATATTTATTTTTCAACGTAATTTTGCGTTGATTTTTTTTTTTTTTAAACGATGAATGCGTGCGAGTTTGGTTAACTTGATTTTATTTATTTGTAAGGCTTTTACATATAGGAATTCGCATCGCTAATTCTATACAATAAATATGGCAATCTGATTCGCACGATATCACATTATAGTTATAATATATATATACTTAAAATCTAAAAAGGAATCGATGTTTAATAAATTGATTCGCATATCTCCGAGCATGTATCACAAATAATGATACATTTTTGCTTTGTCGTTATAATGATAATTTAAATAATCGTTACGACATAGATAGAATATGGTTGATCGTTATATCGGAATATTTATCGAGTACTACACTTTTGTTACGCGTTAAAACAGAACGGAAATATCTTTTATGTAAACGAAAAATAAGTAATAATTTTTTCTATAATAATAATAGTAACAGAAATGTACGAGATTTGCCTGTTTATTTAAGTAGTTTACTTAATGGCAAATAAACGATAAATATATATATATATATGTATAAAAAATAATGATAAAAAAACAAAATTTTCCATTGCTCGTTCAAATAAACCAAATCGCCAGATTGAATTTGTCATAGGTGTTAACAATACTGAATAAATTAACCGTATTATATTATCTTTCTAAAATATTTACATAATCGAAGAATGAACACAATGTTAATATATAATACTTTTGCATGAATTGAGCAAAAGAAAAAAAAAAAGAAATCAAAAATATAAGA